ATAACTGACCCATTTGTACATAAAGCTATACCACGAGCCAAATCTCTGTGTGTCGATCCAGCTATTGATCGACTGTATAAATATCGCGGTAGTGGCGTACCCAGTTCTCTTTGCCTGGTATTGACACCTTTTATTAATGTTTCTAATGAAAATGGTACATTTAAAGCCAACTACAAAAATCATTATTTAATTAATTAATTGAATCACTATAAAAATATTGAAATAGCACAAATATATGATAATAAACATACTAAAGCGTTTATTGCAGCAGTAGCACCACATGCAGAAGTTGCTATTTGAGTTACTTGTTTCACTGTAGCTTCTTGTTCGCTCCATAGCATAACCTTTTCAACTATTATAAGGCCATCTAATCGTTCATTAGATAATTCGTTTTCCTAAATGTATATGAATAAACACTTGCATAAATTATTACAGTTGCACGTAATACATAAAAATATATCAAATTATAATAAGCTGTATTAACTAGATTTGAGTCACCACTCTGATTAAATGCAGCTTGCTTATTGAGCATCAATTTCTTTGCCATCATACGATGATAAAGAGTTGAACTGAGATTCACTCTCCGAGAGCTTAAATTCGAATTTTCTGGAACGGAAGCTGATGAAGATTCAACCCACAATTCAGCATCTGAATCTCTATTGTCACCTGGTGAAATAAGGTCTCCGCTTGTACTATGATATCCATATGATTCTTGAAGAGGACACTTTCTCTTACGATGTATTTTAGTAGTTTCCCATTTTCCTATAGATTAACAATTTAATACACTAATTTAAACAAACTGTATCTTCTCAAAGTATATTAATATAACAAAAGTAAAGTACCTGCTCCACTACTACTAGTACTTGGCATCCATGGTGAAGGATAATTTGGCTGTATGCTTGGTTCAGGAACAGGTGGATTACTGCTGGAACATTGCTGAAGCTCTGCATTATTCACATTTTGTACACTTTGCTTTGGGTTTTGAGATGTTGCTGTAATTCCTTGTTTAGCCACAACTTTACCACTACTTAAATCATTTAATACTGGATCTGGATCTACATTATCTAATGCTATATTCTGTATATCTTCATTTATAGAGGCCATATCACTGTCTCCTGTGTCCTATATTAAGAATGTTAAAGTAACTAGTGAGAGAGAATTATGATTTTCTCATCACAATTCAATACCTGTTCACAAGAAGGCCCAGGATCAAAATCCATTTCCAAAAAGTCCATCTCTGGACTTGATCTACCACTATGACATTGTTCATCTTCCTCACGTTCTTCCACTTGTCCTTGATTTATCTCTTCCTTTTGAATTAAATAAACTACATCATCATTTCCTTTGTATATGTAAATACAATAATCTTCTCCATCCGACATATCACCTTCATTTCCAGAACTTGAATCCTTCCTCTCATTCTGTTCTCTTTGTGTATTCTAGTTAACAAACATGTGAATTTATAACATATCATATTATAGCACAATAACAAAACTCACTTTTTGTAATCCACTTGGTCCTGGCACTTCCCTATTCCCATTAATGTTAGGTCTTAAAAAACAACATGTTCCTTGACTTGTTGAACCTATACTACCCCCTATATTATTTAATAGGCTGTTAGATCCATAGGACCTTGATGCCCAGACACTGCCCATTTCAGGACTAGAATCTGAACTACATGACACTTTTGATGGACACTTTTCAATTCCAGAGATATAATCTACATTATTTTTCATATCAATATCCTCGTTTGGTTTAGCTGTTGATATATTTGGCTGTATCGCAGATGAAACTGGTGCTGAATTATTTAAATATAAAGTAGCACTGGATGTAGCGCCAGTATTATAAGAACCTGATATACAATGATTCACATGTGTGTTATTTTGACTGGAAGATAAATTTATATGCATTGGAGGCTTAGGCAAGTTCAAAGCGCTCGTACTCATTACAGTCTTATGCTTCAATTGACTTGTAACAGCAGTATTCATAGTTTGAGATTTAATATTGTTGGTATTTAAAAACATGGAAGATACACTTGCATTCAATATATCTTGACTTGTATCTTGGTCCATACTATTGGTAAAACTACATGTATTACTTTGCATAGATCTTGTACCATTAGTAAATGCAATCGAAGCTTTTGAAGACAAATGATTCTTGGCACTATTGTCTCCTAATTTATTACTTAATTTTGCTTGATCTCCATTTAATTTACTTTCAAGTTGTATAACTTTAGATGATTTAGTCGGCTGTTCAATTGATTGATTACCATTTTTTTTTAAACTTTCTTCTAATCTTGTTTCATTTTTCTTCTGACTGTTACTTGCACCTTCTTCAGAACTCATATTATTTTTAAGATGATAGCAGCAAATTATCTATTAAAAAGTGGACTAAAATTACTTTGCTTACTTACTTTAAATTATGAATATATCATATAGAAATATTACTAATTATAAATTATTTTTTTAGTTAATGTATAGTTGTAAAATTTTATTAAATAGAACTGTTATAACTGTCTTATAATACTGTACATCACAAAAATGTGTTAGTGAATACTATTTACCTCCGAATTATTTTCTATTAATATTACGATTATATAGAGTTTACAATTACTTTCTTTCCAAGCAAGTCTAGATTACAAAATGTTAATCGTGTCAGTCTTTGATGCACAAAATTGTCAACAAATAAAAGATTTGTTTGCTTCTACAGGTATGCTGTTCTGTCAAGTGAAAAGAATGAAAAGCCTCACTAATATTTTCTCTCGTATTAGTTCCGGAAGTCAGCTGATTAGTAGAAACAAATGCAGCTACACACAAGTTTATTATTTTTGCACGTTTCTTTACGAAAAAGCTATCTATTCGTTTATAGCATTAGATAGTAATTCACATTGGTTTTATTGATACGAACACAAATGACTTTAAGAGAAAATTCTCTTGTCTTGTCTTCACATTAATAAAATAATCAAGTTTTCAATATTTACAGAATATTATCATACGCGTTACAAGTTACGATATGTTAGATGATTTGCCTGAAAAGAAATATTATATAGAGTCTCTTTTAAATCAGAATTCGTTAGAAATACGCAATACAAATAATCTACTCTTGGAGGTCAAGGAAAATATCAGCCAATCGTAAAGGTTCATATGTCTATTTGTACATTTAATAGTAAATAAAATTGTTCTAATAATAGAAAATAATTAATGTAATTTATATATAAGTACTTAAATGTTATAACAAAACAATGTCCAAATTGATAATAGGTCCTATGCAAAAATCTGTTACAAACTGATACGCTTTTCACATTTAAGATATATTTACGAAATATTATCTAGGAATTTAGATAATGTCAAAAGAACGAATGTGTGCAAAAAGTCCAAGATCATTAGTTTTTAGATCACAATGCTTTGTTTTGATTAAAAGCAAATTCAATCATTTTTTATAACTAATTCTAAGATTGGTTTTTAATTATCAGGAAGAGTAAAATTTTATTCAGATTTCGAACGGGCTACTAGAATGAACAGAATTATGATTTTCTATACATAAATAAGTACAAAATTATCGAATTTGTGTATACGTGGAGCATTGGTTTGATTAATTAAATAGTATTCATAATGAATGTTGTTCGTATTAATTCGAGAAATGTGATTTTTATTCTTCTGGCAATTTTCTCGACTACTGCCAAGCAGGCTCATATGGGTTATGATCATGGTAATTATAGTTCGCTTAAGTGTTTGTACAAATTATTTCTGAAGATACTTACAACTAACAATTTTGATTACAGAGAGTGCAATCAAATATGCACAAAAAGAAGCTAATGTAAACTCAACACCAGCTTACACTAGTACAAAGGTAATATAAAATTTACTACTGCTATTTTAATAACAAGAAACTGTCTAAATAATTATAATGTTGATAGGAAGAAATTTTAAGATTATGTCCAAATGGCATTGCTTGTTCAGAATTAAGTGGAGATTGTTTAAAATGTGATTTAAATCCCAATTGCGTATATGGTGCTGTATATGTAGCTAATTGTTCTGTTTTAGAGAATATCGATTGTATTGTAAGTAACAAGATAATATTGTTTATCTTACATTAGTATCTGACATGTATTTATACTGATTAACATATGAAACTTCAAGGGTGAACAGTTCTTTCAAAAGAAGTATATATGTCGTTACTGCTATCAAACAGACCATTGGGAGCACGAATGTCAACATAAAAATTCATGCAGTTCTATAGCTTCTCCACGACAGTATTATAGGACAAATTGTACAGTAAAAGATGATATATTATGTCTTGGAAGGCGTAGGTTTATGAAAAATTTATTATGCAATTGGACTGTGGGATATCGTTGGTCTGTTGCTTTATTCTTGAGCATTACTTTAGGAGGTTTTGGTGCCGATCGGTATGTTATATTTAGTACATTAAATGTTGACTAAAAATGCTTCTTATTTTGAACACGTGTTGCGTGTTTTTACAGATTTTATTTAGGTCATTGGCAAGAAGGTATTGGTAAATTGTTTAGTTTTGGAGGACTTGGAGTATGGACATTAATTGATGTGATGCTTATATCTATGAGATATTTAGGTCCAGCAGATGGATCATTATATGTTTAAATAGATGTAATAATAAGTATATTGTATATAGAAATAGTGAAATTTATAATTTTATAAGTCATAAATTTAAGTAATTGGATTTTATTGGTTACTCAATCAGTATCTAGAAGAAGTGGAATTTTTACCTATCACTTTCAAAAGAACTGAATTATTATGTGATATATACATGAAACATTAAATAGAAGCCTTTCATAAGCATAGAAAAAATTATGGTATTGTCTAATTTGTATAATCTTCTGGATAATTGATATAATTTCAAAATTATTAATGTACACTTTAACTTGTGCAATAAAACGGTATTTTATTGTATTGTTTTCAGTGTTTTATAATTGATATTACTTATTACATGTATAACTTCTAATTTCATTCATTCCGCAACTATAGAGGTGGGGGGAATCTTCAACAACCTCTAGCGGAGTCGTTCAAAAAATCCGTGCGAATGTAGTCAGTTCGAGGAACTAATACAGCTTTGGGTGTCTGTGAATCGCGAATGAGGAGAAGGCGAATATTTAACAATGTATGTACATAACAAAATAAATAAAAAGCTTTACTTTTTAAATATGTTATAAAGTTTTTATCTTATAAATTTAGTATAACATCGAATACTTTGGATTGTAACATAACCTCAATGTAAAATGTCTAAACACAGGAAGGACAAAAGTTTGTCGAAACTTGATAGCATGGCAGATGTCCGCGATATATTAGACATCGAGGTACCTACTACAAGTGAGCTCACGAAGGAATCAATTATAGGTAGTGACAAGAAAAATCGTAAAAAATATGAATACAAAGTGCCGAAGAGACCGGAGGGCATGCATCGTGAAGTCTTTGCATTGCTCTGTAAAGATAATACTGACGTACCTCCGCTTTTTCCAACGGATACCGCAAAGGGATATAAACAAGTTAGAGCTAAACTTGGTATGAAAAAAGTGAGACCATGGAAGTGGACACCATTTACTAATCCCGCTAGGACAGATGGTGCTGTTTTTCACCATTGGAGACGAGTTGCAGATGCTGGAAAGGAATATCCTTTTGCTAAATTTAATAAAAAGGTTCCTATTCCAACATATACTAATGCAGAATATGTTCAACATTTGGTTACAAATGGTTGGACAAGAGCAGAAACCGATCACTTGTTTGATTTGTGTAGGAGGTTCGATCTAAGGTTTATCATAATCAAAGACAGGTGGGATTGTACAAAGTTCCCTGCAAGATCCGTAGAGGACTTAAAAGAAAGGCAAGTAAACATCGTATACTTTATAATTTCTATCTATAGATTTGTATAATCGTTTAGGTATTATCAAGTGTGTGCAGCTTTAACAAGGGCGAAGTCTCACAATGACAAGGTTTATGTGTTTGATGCTGAACACGAAAAACGCAGGAAAGAACAGTTAAAAAAATTGTTTGAAAGGACACCGGAACAAGTAGAAGAGGAACAAATGCTATTATCTGAGTTGAGAAAAATCGAACAAAGGAAGAAGGAAAGGGATAGAAAGACTCAAGATTTGCAAAAATTAATAACAGCTGCTGATCACCAAGCTGATCCAAGGAAGAATGAAAGAAAACCTGCAAAGAAGAGCGGAGCTTCTGCTCGAAGTAGACCAAACAAAGCTGATACCTCTCATGTAAATATTTTATCAATGATCTTAACTGTATTTATACACAAAGATGTATTATAAATAATTTTAAATTTTTAGACAGTAGAATCCGCTGGAATTAAGTTTCCAGATTTCAAAAATAGCGGTGTTTCCCTCCGTTCTCAGCGAATAAAATTGCCGAGTAGCTTAGGTCAAAAGAAAATGAAGGGTATCGAACAAATGCTTAATGAACTTCGTATAGGTATCTTTAAATCCAATTTATTTATTGTTTCATTTTTTCTTCCTTTTTATATTTTACTTCGATAATACGGTTATATTTCAGAGTTAAATCCACCACCCACGGAGCAAATATGTCAACAATTTAACGAATTAAGGAGCGATATCGTTTTACACTATGAACTTCGAAGCGCGTTATCGACGTGCGATTACGAGTTGCAATCATTGAGGCACCAATACGAAGCTTTAGCACCAGGGAAGGTACATTATTTAAATAAAGAATCTCAATTGTTCCAAGAAATAACATTACGTTAAATTTTCAGACATTAACGATACCACCTGCCTTGTTACCGAAAAGCGAGCCGGAAGTTAAAGCAGACATAATAGATGTGGTGGGTTCGCCCAGTATGCCATCTGTTACTCACTAATTTCTATAATAGCTTAGAAAGATAAAAACTGTAAATAATTTCTTGTACGTTGAAATGCGATATTCAAATTATCGAGTACGCTTAATTGATGTTTCTCTCTTTGTATTATTTCTTTTTACTCTTTATTAGAAACGATTAAAAGTAATTTAAGAGAAATGGCAAAATTGAATTATCTTCCTCTTCCATAATGTCATCACCATAAAATGTATCGAACGAAGAATGAAATAACTGGAACAAGGCGTTAATTACTTATATATCTGTGTATTTTATATTGTCGACAAAAAGTAACAATGTACGGTCAAACCGTATAATTTATCTACAACAATCTACAATAGATTACAATATGTTATCTTGTTTTTGTTGAGGGTTAGAGGGAGGCAGGAATATTAGAATAACGGGAACTGGGTTTTTTTTTGGAAGGAACGGGAAATCGGGTTAAAAGTGTGGAGGAAAGATGGTCGATGCAGGCCTTTCTTCGTTCGTGCTCCGTTAATCGCGATACAGTTGACTGTTTTAATTCTATATTAAATTACTCGATAGCTCTAGCCGTACTTGGTACGGAATAATGCATATATATCTGATTCTTAATGATCGATAACCCACCGCCCGACTTTTCCATCTACGCCGTGCCGTGAGGACTCTCTCGGTCAAAGTTAAGTATAAGGAAAAACTGGTCACAACGCTGGCTAACATCGTTGACCCGCATATCCGATTCATTGTTCGCGGATCGTGCATCCTCTCGTCTCTTTTTCAACTTCTTATGCCATATGCTGACGTTTCGATCGCAATTATCCCGATAGCACGATATTTTTTAATTTTTAAGGCTAATACTTTAGGACGAAAAAATAAAAATATCCAAGAAAATATCATAGACTGGAATGTCATACTCGATTAGCTCTATTAAGCAAAATAATGGAATACTTTTTCTAGTTTTTCATCGTCCAATTTGTAAATGGAAAAAACCTGAAGCACGAATCGTAGATAGATCAAAGTACAAAGTGTTAAATATTTTTCAATAAGCAAGGGAAGTGATATAATCGTAGCGATGGAACAAGAGAAAGCAACTTTAAGAACTTGAAAAGTGATTTCAAAGGAACTTTCCTAAAGATATGTATGTACATTCTACATGCACCTTTGCGTGATGGCATTCTTCATTAGAGAAATACATACATACTTTTATAGACTGACGTCTCAAACGAACAGAATAACGAAACATCGAGTATGCATTTTGGTAATCGTTTCGTCTTTCAACGCAAAATGAAACAACTAACATACTCTAACTTTTTGTAATTTCATTTTAAACGAAAAAATCTTTAATTTCAAGAGGGTGGCAACGAAACGGAATGATGAACGATTGAACGCGTCAACCTATCCCGATGGCATCTTCAATCGCATTTTCATTTTCTCATATTTCGGCCGGTTTGTTAATCGACTTGTAGATTTTTCTGTTGCGACGAGAAAAGCACGATCATTGGCTGTGGCATAGCAAGTGGGTCGGCTGGAAAGAGGGGAAAAAAGTTGAGCCACGAATAAAGGAACACCGCGGCTGGCAAAACACGCGTAATACGTGTCTATATGTATATACACACTGATATACATGTATACATATATACACATATCTGTAGCAATAATAGTAATAATTATAATAATCGTAGTGATAATAATAATAACAATAATAATGAATACGAACAACTTGTAATGTACAGAGTATATGCGTACATTCCTCAACGAAAGTTCCCTTCGCCTTTTCTCTCGTGTCACGTATTCCTTTCTTCCTTTCCTCTTTTCTCTATTTTTTCTCTGCTTCTTTCTTTTCTTTTCTTTCTTTCTTTCTTTTTTTCCGACACAACACGGAATCGTCTACAGGATTATTGATTCGACAACGTTCGAGCGATCCTGCAACTGACCGGAGAAGAGATTTGTCTCGTTATTATCTTTTTTTTTTCTTTTTTGAGTTACTTTTGCTGCTTCGTTTTTTTTTTTCTTTTTTTTTGCTTCTTATAACATGTAACATGAGAAATCGTATCTTATTCGTTAAAGACATTCCCTACACAACACGGCTACGGTAATGCGTCATGGATATGTGCGCAAGTGCGTGTGAAGTAGAATGGAGGGAGACACAGAAAGACAGGAAGAGAAAGGATGAAGGGGAGGGGGAGAAGGGATAGATGGATGGATAGATGGATGGATGGATGGACAGATGAGGGTGAAGGGGCAGAGAGGGGGATAGATGGATGTGAGAGTGGAGGAAGGAGAGAGAGGCTGCAGAGGAGGGTGGTTGGTTGGGCAGGAGGTGGGAATCGGGTGGATTCGGGGTTGTCGAGTGTCCGCACGTACGCGCGCGTACGCACGTGCGCACATAGGCACACGTTCTTTAAAGTTTATATGTATAGACTTCTGTATATAATGTTAATCATTGATTTTTTTGTTTTCTTCTGTTGGTTGTTGGTTGCTTTCAAGTAAGCAGCTTTCTCGAGTATGTATATATATACACATAGGTATATGTACAATACATATATATGTGAATATATATATAGTTGCTATTACGTAATAATAACATGTACGCTCGTCAATTGCATCAAATTTTCTCCTCTCTTTTTCTCTCGTCTCATTCGCATCTCTTTCTCTCCTTCTTTCTTTCTCTTTCTCTAACACACACTCGTACATCGTTCATACGCGTTTACTCTCAGTTCCATTACACTCTCGCACTCGTTCTCCCTCTCATTCGCTTCGGCTTGCCTATAATTTCCTACCTGTATTGTATATAACTACAACGCTATGGTAGACAACAACAAGTAATATTATCCTAAACTTGTTTTCACTTGTTTTCTCTACATCGTATTCGTATATGCCGTAAAAATGTTGTATATAATGATATTAATATTGTTTACATATTCTGTTTTATTGCACGCGTTATCGGTCGCGATAGCACCGACACGTCGAACGAAAGTCGAGCATCCGATCGATCGTTGATTCGGCCGATCACCAATTTTCGTTAACGATCACCGCACGACGTTTAATTAAAATCCCCCAGCGAACTGTAACAGACTCCAAGATTTCGATATTTCGAATAAAAGAACAAATCGTGTAATTTCGATTGTAATCGACGAGATAACGTGAAATATGTTTTTACGATCGAACAAGACAGAAGAAAGGAAAACGTTGTAATCGGCTACGTTCAATTACCGATCCTAAATGTTCGTTCGCTATCGGTTCTACCGCGACATTACTCTTTAACATCAGCCTGTTATATTTTCATTTATTTATTTATCTTCCTGCGAGATATTCACTGTACTGATTTTTTTTCCTTTTTTCTTTTTTTTTTTTATCTTGCATGTAATATCCTCGTTAACGTTCAACTCGCACGCGATCAGCGATTTCTCTAGATATAAGCCGAAAATCATCCTGCGTGAGGTGTAAATAATATGGTCGTTGGTGCAGCATTTGTCTTGTCTCCGTTGAGAATACTCTCGTACCGGTATCCGTACGAAATTACATCGTGACTGAGACAAACGAAAAGCGTGGTCGTCTATCGAGAAGATCGATTTGCCGTTTACATATTTGACAGGTATCACAAAAATCGTCAAATCGAACGCTTATCGAGACCTCGTTGTTTCCCGATCAAATTGCACGTGCACGCTGCAATCCGTAGTAAAATTCATATTTATATTTATACATATGTGTATATTTGTGTATGTGTGGTGTGTTGTACGTGTACGCCTGTGTATATGTGAAAGTGTATATAATATATATATATATATATATATACATACATATATATGCTTGTGTGCGTGTGTATGTGTATATATATACACGTATATATAGATACATCTACATATACATATACATGTATATATATACGTACTAGGCTGGTTTCGTCTAATCGCACGTATCCTAAATATCCGCGAAAAACAGAAAATCGACCTTTGTACGTTCCAATTTAACCCTAGTACTGTCGTCATTCTCCAACTCCACGCTTTTCCTTTAGAAAAATTTCTTTTCCTTCTAATTCTCTACGTCGTCGTTTGTACGATAAAAACAATAGATAAACGTTGATATAACAATCGGTGAATAGTAATTCAACAATGTAGCTTTGAAATTATTCTACGGTCGTGTCGCTAGAACGATAGTTTCGTAAAAATATTCTGTTTACCACCCATAGATCGAGTAACGGAGAAATAAGTTTAGATCGTTGATCTAACGGCCCTTCTGTCCCCGAAGCGCAGAGTATCGCGACACGATCTTTTCATCTACTCGCATCGTATCGGGGAAGCGATCAAGATCCACTCACCGATGTAAAAGGTGTGTAATTTGGAAGGGAACGATCGCGGGGATATATGGCGCGCGTGGAGCGAATACTCAAGGGCAGAGAAAGGGTTAAGAGAAGAGCGACAATTATCAAATATATCCGTACGCACGAGCGAAAGAAAGCGTTGCCGTAATAAAATCATCCTATCCTCGGACTCTCTCATCCCGACGTATACAACGTTAGACCTTTACATATTTATATGCGCCTTTATGTATATAAGTATGTAGATAATATATGTATATAATGTATAATAGTATAATTATTTATAATATTTTGTTACTTTATCCATTTTCATCTAAGATTCTGCGGTAACCTAGGTTTCTCTCGTCATCCGTTTACCTCGTAAAATCCGAAGTACTTTTTCTCAATTACGTCGTATCCAGTACGTCTACTACTGCGGCGATGGACGGGGGTAAAACCCTATGTAATGCGACGAATTCAACAACGACAATCATAAAATATATATATATATATATGTATATACGTATATATATATGTAAATATATGTATATATATATATATACGTGTGCTTTGTATATAACATACGTGAAAAGAAAAATCGGAACGAACTATATCACACGTATATGTATATATTTATATATATGTGTGTGTGTGTCGTGCGTACACGCGCACGCGCGCGCGCACGTTGCAAGCGAGCACCTGTATTGTTGCGTGTAACTAATCGTAAGAGAACGTATAGCGTACGCCGAAGATCGATAATTAACTGGCATCTTTCACGCGTGCAACTTTCGCACGCGCGCACACACGTCTTATAGTATACCTAGTGCGATGTGCGTGTGTGGGTGTGTGCGCGCGCCCGCGCCCGCCACTGCGTGTCCAACAACGATCTGCAATCTGCATGCGATCGAATCGTTCGACAGGCTGGATCACCACCCGAAAACAGTATATGTATATATAATATCTATATGTATATACATATAGATGTGTACCTATATGTGTACACGATATATATACTATATGTACTGTATATATATATATACTATATATATACATATAATACGTATTTAATAATATAATCTTTAATCATATATAGAAACTTTGTAACACCTTTATCCTTTTCCTTTTTTTCTTTTTTAACTTTTCCCTAAGTATCTTACAATATAAGTATCTAATAATATCGCTAAGTATTTAGTTACTTTATTAAATCGTCAGCGTCTCCTTCTCTTTGATATGTGCGTTCGCGCCTTGTCATTGCCAAGAGAATGTATTTTTAAGCCTTTGTAAGCGGAATTTCTGTTCTCTTCTGTTCGGTTTTCTTCCACAACCCCTCCCCTCTCCTCCCCACCTTCTGTCCATCACTCTCTTTCACTCACTCACACCCCTATCTACATACATTCAAGCTCACAATTATTTTTCTCGTTCTCTCGTGCGTTCTGGTACGCGCTCGCGCTCTTACTCCCGATCCTTCTCTTCCTCATTTTCTCCCCGTCTCCTTTCCTTCTTTTAAATAAACCATATAACGACAATTAAAGCTACGTTATCGGAATGGAAAACAATATTTTCGATACGACCGTACGTCGTACAGAGGGAAAGAAGTTTGTCCTCTCGTATCGCGAAGGATGCAAACCGTTCGACAGGTTTACGGTCATTCGGCTCTATCGTCACGGCATTGCGTTTTACTCGAAGGTGTTTCGCGTGTCACGTTCGAATTCCCTCGATTCACATTGGTACTCCGTTTGTGTTATTTGACGAAGAACGACTGTCCCCGTCTCGTTATTTGCGGATGCTCGAAGAATCGCGATACGAGAATAGAATAAAAATTTCTCGAACGAACGACCCTGATCCCGTGATACGAATTACACAACGGTTGTGTAAAGAATCAACCAACGGAGTTTGACGCGCGCATTTTTTTTTTTTTTTTTTTTTTCGCTGCCGTATTTAGAATACAATAACGAAAAGAGACGAGAGCGAAAGGAAAAAGAAAAAGAAATTAGGGCAACCGCGATGACGATCGCGTTGAAAAGAAAGTGGGTCGTAAAATATACTTCGATAAGATCCTTCCTTCCTCGTTCTCCTGTTTCCATCGGTCGAACAAAAGGAACCTTTTCCATCGGCTTAGATCTACATGCGTCCCGAACACGGCGAAAGAAAACGAAGGAATTTACTCTTGAACCATGAACACAATTCGCAACACACGGTTTCGGTCAACACTGGCACCGGTAGCATTCGTGTACCGACGTCTTCGACAACGCAAGATTCGACTTGAACGATCGCTCTTACATACGCGTATTTGTTTCTTTTTTTGTTCCTTTTTTATTTTCTCTTTTAATATATAAAAATGAATCTCGAGCCGTTAAATATGGGATCGGCCGCAACGATGTGTGTCCCGTTACGTCTCACGGCGAGACGCGCGTCGAAAATTCAAAGATTAGAATTGAAACTCGATGTCCCCTTTCAACCCTCAACGATGTTTATCCTAAAGTATTATAAAGTACAAATTACGAGCGCGATAATACCCCGAGCTTCGAGCATTTCGCCCGTTCGACCTTCGCCTTATCACGCGATTTCCCGTTCATCCGTTTTCGTTTCAACGAGAACAACCTAACGAACTCTCTATTTATCGTTACCCTCTTTTCTCTTTAAGGGCACGAATACGTTAAACTACGTTGCGTTCCGTTTTGTACAGGATTTCGATTCGGGACGAGAAATTTCCGCGAAAAGAACGTACGGAGTTTCGTTACCCATCCGGACGATTCGCTTTCACATTTCTCGTCGTTGAATCCAGGAAGAACATTTGTTTCATAGAGACGATGCTCGGCTTTCTTTGTCAATCGTTCGTTCTCTGTCGTTGATCGAATGCAAGAGGAATTCGTACGAGAGGAAGGCCGGAAGCTCGAGGGATTGCGTTACTTCGTTCGCGGCCTCGGCCACACCCGTGCTCGACGCAGGTCGGATCGCTTCTGCGACGATCAAACGTCGCCAGCGTTGAACCTGTTGGTTGCGTGTGATTTTTCTATGTTTCGACGAGCTTTGTATAATAATAATAATCGATCGTTACGGTATCAGTACGCGCTACGATAACAAATGTTTGATTGAAAACGTTTATAATAATCGAAGCTACACGGAATCTCTCTCTCTCTCTCTCTCTCTCTCTCTCTCTTCCACATACACACTCTTTCATTCTCTTCCTCGGCGTGGTACTAAAAATGCTAAATTGCAAAAAAGAGGCGCCGCCGTTTGTTTCTCTTCTTTCCATATGTCTCTGTACGTGTCTTCGCGTATATGTGTATATGTGTGCGCGCGTGTGTGTGTGTGTGTGCTTGTCCTGTGTATGTCCGTGTACGCATGTGTGTGTATGTACATTTTCCGGTATCCTTTAATCGTTTTGTTAATCGGTGATCGGTACTTCGGGAAGATCGTATTGTGCATCTTTCGCTACTTGCTTCTTGTAATCGTTTACGAAACTATTAAGAAACGCTACGTCCTACCAGCTACTTCGCGCTAAAGGTTCCTCTCCTGCTTTCGTCGTTATATTTACGCGCTTGTTATGTCAAATCGTCTCGTGAGAAGCCGCTGCATTCACTTTCTCATTGTCCTTCCCGTACCTTTCGTTCGGACGCTTCGAGAACGCTTCGCCTTTTCCCGTTTGATCCTGCGATTTTCTCGATGGAAACTGGCACGATCGAGAGCCCACTTTCGAAAGAACGATCCGCGGATGCGAGAGGATCGATGAAAGCCACCCAGCGTTTGGCGAGCATGTGCGTGACGAACGCCTAGTCCGTTCGTTTCTCGACAGACTACGAAACTTCCTCGTTGAAGTAGTATCGGTAGACGATAAGGCGAACACGGCTGACAATTAGACGCGACGCAGCGTAATAACCACGTGACGATCGGCGATCGCATCTATTCCGATAGAACGTTCCTCTTCTTTCTTCGAGCTATCGCCAAGTCGGTCCTCGAGAACGCGTTACCACGGCCGATCGCCACGGATCAACGTAGAATTATCGTAATAGTAGTAGAAGCGTAAGATTAGTTCGATGCTAGAAGATGTAAAAGTCGGTGAAACGCGAGAGTCAAACAGCACCCGGCTACGGACGTTTTTCGTAAGAGTCCCGTAGCGAAGAGCGAGAACGAGATATTAACGAGATGTAGCAGCGGCTAAAGAGTAGAACAACTACGATTCGTGGGTACGGTGAACGCGCCGCAAACACGAGCTCGCTTCTTAGAGCGTAAAGCTGCTTGAACCGTGAACCGCGATGGTTCCTCCTCTTAGTTTCGATAGTCGAGAGTATACAAAAGTGTGACAACGTTTGAAGTATGCGCGAAGTGAATTCTCGTTTAATTTCGTTACCGAATCGGTTAGGTTCGCTTGTCATTTTCTACTCCGTTTCTTCTCCGGTTCACCGTGATTTCTGGTCTCTCCTCGTTACGATTTGATTCTCTGCATCCGCAAACAGCATTTTGCGTCGTGCGAGTATTTCTTTTTTTTTGTGTTTTTTTTTTCTTTTCTTCTTTAGTAAAAAGCTAGGCCGCTGTTAGGCGTTCAGGCGGTTCCGGATATATACGTCGTTCCTTTTAATCCTCTCGTCGAACCGCAGTCGCGCTGCGATTTCGCCTTCCCCGCTTTCAGTATCCTTATCTTAGTCGATATCACGTTTATACCTATTTGTTTATAATCTACGCGCTCGAAACGTACGTAGCGTGACATCGAAAACTCGAAAGAATGTCAGCGAAAGATAGCTTAGTGAGAATCGCTTTCGATCCGGGATCACGGAACCACGCTCTTTTCCCTCCTTTTTCCTTTAAGTAACCAAAAAGTCTCTTTTTCGTTTTTGCCTCGAGCGTTTCACTTTTCTACTTGCCCCGTGATCTCCGGTATTGAAGGTTCGTTAGCGTTACTCTTCTACAGAGAAAGAACGGCGTGCAGCGACTCGATCGTAAACTGAATACCATCAAGAGAGAGGTGCAGAGCAAGCGTCGCGGGTGTTCGTTTCGAATGACGTTCGAGTCGACTGCACGACGCTCCCCTCGAAGACTGCGTTTCGCCAGTTTCGCTACGCGTTTAGGAAGATTCGACCTCTTCTCGCGTCTCTTACGTAGATTAGTTGAATAGCTATTAATCGAAGTTAAAAACAGGCACGCCGGAAACCGGAGGCGCGTGTTCTACCGGTAAAATCGTTGCTGAAACGAGGGTGGTCTTTTTTCGATTTCAACGTCGGCGATTCTTTCCAAATACCGAAGATATTCTTACACGTGTAGAATAATTAGAAGAGAGATAATGAATTTTCTATGGTCGAAACGATCGATCGATCCACCGTCGTTTCGGCGATTCGCGATCCGAATCGGCGCTTCCGTTCTCTGCGTACAACGTTAGAGCGCTGACGATCGGCGGATTCGTTTTCGGTCAATGAAAACGCGACGCGTGGCCGATCGATTGAAGGCGAGCCGGAGTTCGCCGCGTTTCGTCATGGTTCCGACCCTCGCGCGCCGTCTCTTTCCTCCCACGGCTACTGTTTTCGTTCGCGAGACAATGTAATTTCGCGGAGCCGTACGCGGAAA